GTTTATTTCAGCTAGTCTTGAGTCCTTACGTCCTTAGATTGAGGGTTTCCTTGCCTCTGACTGGAAAGTGCACATCAACACAATAACGTCAGAGCACAAGTACCTTGGCGTGGGAGAGCGAACTGTTGTGGATGGGGAAGGGTGGGATGTCACAGGGAGGTGCTGTCTCAAACGAGGCTGGGAAATCGGCTTTGCCCCCATTGCTTTGCCTGGGTACTGACAGCTAACTTATTGGCAGCAGCAGCAGATGGAATTGTCTCCTCGGAGGAGCAGGGCAGTGTGGAAGCCGATCCGCCGAAGCCGCCAGAAGAGAGCCCTGTGAAAGAGCCCTTGGAAGACGCAGAGGCTAAAGAGGAACCGCCACTGACCTGCCGGTGAGAGACCTGTGAGACCGCGTCCGAAATCTGGAGCTTGGAGGGTATCTGTGCTGCAGATGGGACGACTGTGGTAGGCAGAGGCTCAGAGCTAAGCTTACAAGAGCAGGAGGCAGGCCTCCCTAAAGATGCAAAAGATACTCATCATGAAACTATCTGATACTTGTCAGCCCGTTGGTCTGTCTTATTAAGCATAGTCTGTTACGACTGGCAGTGGCTCTCTGGGGTCCTGGGCAGAGATCTTGCCTTGGATATCATTGATTGAACATTGGACCATCTTCCTACAAAATATGGTGCTCTGCCACTGAGTGGAACACATGAAGCTGCCTTATACTGAGTCAGATCCTTGGTCCATCAAGGTCAGTATTGTCTACTCAGACTGGCAGCGGCTCTCCAGAGTCTCAGGCAGAGGTCTTTCACATCAACCCGCTGCCTGGTCCTTTTTAATTGGAGATGTTGGGGACTGAACCTGGGGACCTTCTGCATGCCAAGCAGATGCTCTGCCACTGAGCCACGGGCCCGCCCCCATCTGAGACGTCTCACACCCTAAATGACAATCATACCTCCTTGTTCAAGAGACTGGCAAAGGGGGAACTGTTCTCTGGTTCTGTCAGATGGTGGTGCTGTGGGCCAACAAGACGTTTTCTTACGCTCTCAGGTTTCATCTTTCAGTGATCAAGGTGCTGCTTCTTGTTTTCGTCAGTTTTCTAGTTCCCTGAAAAAAAGAATAATCAACAGAGGTTTCTTAGGTGTATAGTTGACAAGACTTTAGCTCACCCCTCCCTTTTTTCTTTTCCCCCTTGGATACAAAGGCTCATAAGGATAAATGTTCAGGAACTGTGGCCCTATGTGAACCACGGTGGGGAGGGATTTGGAAGTCTGGAGAAGAGTTCATGGGGAATCTGGATATGAAAGCGGAGGGTTGTAATAGAGGAAGAAGTGTCGGCCACCATCCTAGAATGTCTAGATGGCAGAGTGCAGGGACCTCAGCAAGGACCTGAGTCCACCTGGCCAGTTTGCCAGGGCCGTGTTGTGGCAGGGTTGCCACGGTGCACTGGCACGCTTATGGGACCACGACAGGCTGCCCAGATTGCTGCATCCCCCTTAGGCCCCTTGAGTTGTACAGCGACTGCGTTCAAGGGAGCCAGAGCATGCCAGTGCAGCTGAGAAATGTTTCCCAGATGCAACCACTCACAACGGTGTCGTGGTGTACATCTTCGTGTCTGCTGGGTTTTGCCCCTTCCTTTCTTATATCATGTTTCTCCCCAACCTTAAATACTCAAGCCAGCTTCCTTTAATATCAGGTGAGCTTTTAGGTATGGTGTTATTACCCCCCATATTTTAGCTGTAGGTGCTAAAACTAGGGAAATGCGGCTTTCCTAAAGTAATCCACTGACTCCATGCTGCTTGGGTCATTCAGTTATCTTGCCCTGTACTTAACAATATCTGATAACTTGAAAGTGTGTAGCTTGCAGGTCATCTTGCTAGCAAGCTTTGTGACTGAGCAAGGTTTTCACTGTGAAGGTGTCATGCCCAGACACAGCTTCTCTGGCCAGGTATTGCATGGTTCAGGGAAGTTTGCCAAGGAGTGTTGAAGGATTTGGGAGCTGAAGTGCCTTAGGGATCTGGGGAATCTCCCCAAGAGCTAGATCAGAATGCATCAGGTGGGAAGAGACAGTTTTGGATGGGGCCATCCTTGCAAACTGTGGAAGACACAAGGCTTTTGTTCTGTTACCTTTCATGGGAATGGGTATATACTGTCATGTCTTTTGCAGTGACAAACCATTTCTCATCTCTGCTTCCCCCCACCAGCTCCCCACCCAAACGCTGTGCGTTCTGTAACTGCAGCAAGTGGAGCTTGCACGGGCAGCGTGAGCTGTTGCGTTTTGATCCAGCACCCAACTGGGCAGAAGGTCTTTCCGAGCCTCAGGAAGGGGAGCAGCCTGGCTTAAGAGAAGCTGGAAATGAGGACCAGACCCTCATTGGCTTTGCAGATGGTGTTTCGGTGCGAGAGGTGTTTGAGCCAACAGGTGAGTGGTGAGCAAGGAGGTGTATCCACTGGGGAGAGCTTAAAAGGGTGCACTCAACTGGGGTGTCAGATCCAACCCGCTGTCTCCTTATGTCCTAGCAAAGGGCTGCCTCATATCTAAACTGTGGATTTTTCTGAGTGCTTTCCCCCCCTTATGATGCATTCTTGGTACAGCAATGGCAAGAAATGCTTCAAGTAGCTGGCTTCTTATTTGGTTACATATTCTGCCTTATCACAAGGACTGGGGTTAGGATACATAATACCATTTCTTTCGTGTCCTATAGTGTCACACGGTTCCCTGGTCTCCCAGCTACCCCAATCCACCTGGATGCCCCATGCCTCAAGTGAGGTTTGGTTTGCTTCCCCTTTTATATTCTCCTTTTCCCTTTCCTTTTCAGGGCACTTCTGGGCTCATCACTGGTGTGTGGTGTGGTCAGCTGGAATCTTGCGTGCGGAAGGGTCATGGTTGAGCCATGTGAACAAAGCTGTCATCTCAGGGATTGCACAGGTCTGGCAGGGAAAGGGAGATTGTGGAGGGGGGGGCAGGGAGAGGGGAGGGGATTAAGACAGTGCCCGGGGAGCAGCATGACGGCCAGTAGGAAAAGTTTTAGGAACCTGTATTCACTTGCATTAGAATCTCTAATCTGGATTTTGCTAATTTGTGTAGAATCCTGAAAATTGTTGCATTCCCCTTTGAAATAAAATGCCTTTGCTTCTGTTGCACCCTAGTAAGTTCCTTGACATGTTTGGGGAAAGGGGGCGATTTGCCTTGGTCCCTCAAACAGCAGATTTTGCCCTTGGTGTCTGGGAAGGGGACTAGAGTAAATTCCTTACCTTAATAACATGTTTGGAGACCGCATAAAATTTAACTACTGTTGCAGGATACAGTATACTCATGGTTGCAAAGACCAATCTGCATTAGCTACCTTAGTTATGTAGGTAGAGTGTGGGTGGTGGAATCTAGTGATCAAGGAACAGGGCTTCTTCATGGCCACCAGGTCTTGTCATGGACCCTTACCATACAAGCATTTTCCAGGGGACTTCTCTGGTCCCTGACCCCTTCCCACCACACACAACAAATTGAATGTAGACTTCTAAAGCTTACCCCCTGCCACAGTAACTTTCCCAGACTCTGAAACCAAGTTACGTTGTAAAATATTTACTAACTGAATCCAGTCCCCAGATTTTCAGTTTTGCTTCCAGTAGCAGAATCTTGAGTATTATTTTTTGTTGACTGTAAGTGCTCCAAAGCCTTTGCCAACAATTGTATTAGCTTCCTTTTTGCAGTGAACAGGAGGTGAAACTTCAGTCTGGGTACCATAAAGAGTTTAGGAAAGGTTTGCACTACAGTCAAGTTGGGTTTACAAGCACGCATGTTCCACCGTTCCTGGTGACTTGATTGTGAGACCAACGCATTAATGTGGCATTGTGTGGACATTACATTACAGTGTGGATTTTGGAAAATGTGTTCAGAGCATGTTTGCAACTTCTGCAGGGCCAGGTCTCTCAAGCAAACTCCAGAATGGATTAGAAACTTGATCATTCTTAAGCATAACGAAGCCTAGGGAAGGATTATCCCTGCCTAAGCAGCCGTGCTCACCTTCAATAGTAGTGGATTTCAGCACTGGACGCTTGGTATTTCCAGGCTGTCTGGGGCTGCCATTCTATTCAGGAGTTTTTCTTTTTCTTCGTTGGACCTGTGATCTGTTGCTTGCTTCTTTTAGAAATGTGAACACTGTAGGAGACTGGGTGCTACCATTCCATGTCGTGCGGAGGGGTGCCAGCGCCACTATCACTTCCCCTGTGCTGCAGCCAGTGGCTCCTTCCAGTCCATGAAGTCATTGAAGCTCCTGTGTCCGGAGCACCTAGACCAGGCTGTGCAGATGGGTATGTGTTAGCAGGATGCCAAGGACAGCTGCTGGTGCAAGGGTTTGCTAGTAACCTGCTTGGAATGGAGTCTCTCTTAACCCCTGTGATTTGTGAACAGCAATGGAACTGAGGGGAAGTGGCTTCTAATGGGCCGAGCACACTAGGGGTTAAAGGTCAGGTATTCCGAAGTTTGTTTCTGGATATGAGGGAGTAGGATCTATTGCTTGGACAAGGGAAGAGAGATCCAGATAGCGCTTCTGCCTTAGTTTGGGGCTTGGCTGCAGAGGACTTGGCATACAGGGAGGTTATGATTTGGTGGCTTCAATCCCATCGCACCCTTCTTCCCACAGAGGACTCGCGCTGCATGGTGTGTGATGCACCCGGGGACTTGCGTGATCTGCTCTTCTGCACCAGCTGTGGCCTGCACTATCATGGCACCTGCTTGGAGATCACGGTAACGCCCCGCAAACGCTCCGGCTGGCAGTGTCACGAATGCAAAGTTTGTCAAACGTGTAGGTAAGTATAAAGCCCTTTGAAACTGGAAAGGAAGAGATCTGTGCTAAGCCGTGCAGGGAGGGTTGAATGCTGAGAATGCATCCCTTGACTGCTAGCCCATGGGGTGTCTGTCCTTTGCAGGCTATCGGGGGAGGACAGCATGACGTTAGTGTGTGAAGCGTGCGATAAATGTTACCACACGTACTGCTTGAAGCCAGCCATTGAGAGCCTCCCCACAGACTCCTGGAAGTGTAAGGTGAGTGTCTGTCTGCCTTCACACAGATGGGTGCTGGAAAGATAAAATTCCAGTAGCAGAGGACTCGCGCTCCACCCCCCCCAAAAAAAAAAAGCTTTGAAGGCCCGTAGAAATCCTGCTCAACATCTCTTCTGGCTTCTGAAGTAGTGCCTGAATGTGACCTCAATCCAAAGGGATAAAAGCTTGCTTTAAAAAAAGAGTGGGAATGACTTCCATGGTTTGTGCTTGTTTGGTTCCTCTGCTGAATTGCAGAGTGCCTATTGCCCTGCTTATGCCCAGTGGATCCTCCTTTCTTCAGGAGAGATGCCAGAACAGGTGGGAACTTCCTAGCACCGCACTATTGCATCCCTCCCCCCAATTCATCTCCCATGACCTATTCCTGAGGCTAATGGGAATTCGCATCTTGAGTGAAAGCACAGTTGGATCCACTGTTGGAAAGGCAGGAGTCTCCAGCCAGTCTGTGCTCTTTGAATGTGGCATTTAGTAACCGGCACAAAATCTGGAGAATTGCTGTTCCCTTTTGGAAAAAAGGAGCTGGTTTTCTCTACCTATAAATGAAGTAAACACAATATATCCTGATCCAGTAGTCCATACACTGGAGTGATCTCTTCTCCGTCCACCAAGAGGCAGGTTCTTCTTCAAAGAAAGAGATTGGCCTGGAGCTGGCATTGAGGAGGACAATCTCTTTCCTCCGTAGTCAGTCGCTGCAGCCTCTGCATTTGTTTTACTGGATGGTGTTTTTCAGGTCTGGCAAAACTTTTTGTCACCTGCTCGTTGAGCTTACAAATGGAGAGGGGGGGAGAGCCAGGTTCTAGCCTTCATGGCTATGTCGAAAGGCTGTAACTTTCAGTGGATGGAAATTTTACGTCTTGTATATTACATTATCTCCTTTGTGACAGCCATCAATTACCCGTTTTCCTCTATTTTAGCAGTGTGTTTGCAGGGGTGGGAGACAGGATTGCAAATTCTGGATGAATATTAAGCTCCTGTGTAAATAGAGAACACTTAGGCAAAATAACTTCATTTGCACACATTGGTATTTGGTATGAACTTGCTTTCTGCCGTTTGCTAGCATAATGGCATATTGTGATATTATTCTGCGGCTTTTCCCAACTCAGCCAACTGAAATGGACTCCCCTGAAGTGACAGAGATCTAACTCCACCCTACAGGCACAAGGTCTTGCTTACCATTTCTCAGTACCTAACTTCAGCCCTATCGCTGAGTTCAAATCAGACAGTGTGCCCTACCCCACCCCCCCAATTCCAGTGACACGTTCACCCAAACAGTCAACACCAGGGGAAATCTGGTGCTCACACAGTGACTGGTGTATCTGCCTTGCATCTGTTCTGAATGCCTTTCGTTTCCCTCCTTGCAGAGTTGTCGTGTCTGCTCTGACTGTGGCTTCCGCCCATCCGCACTGGATCCCGGCTGCCAGTGGTACGAGAACTACTCTTTGTGTGAAGGGTGTCAAGAGCAGCGTTGCAAGGATGCGGCTGGCATGGAGGCTGTACAGCGCAGCCAAGAGTGAGTCCCTTGGCTGAAAGTCCATATTTTGGCTTCAGGGAGGTGATGGCCCACCACACAGTGCAGGGGTCGGAGTGATTCCAGGGCTTTTGTTTTGGTTTTGCACAAGGGAATGCTTTGTAAGATTGGTAGCTATAGAACCGTTTTGACAACTCCTTCAATGCTTATCCAGTGATTTTGTGGATTTAATTTTGGGGTTGACAGATCCCAGTGGTGAGAAGAAATTACACGTCTTTCTGAAACTTCTGTCTCACTGAACCTGAACTCTAAACTCAGTGATGAAAGGGTATGAAGTTTACTGTAGGCTTCTATTTCTTTCATGCTTGGGCTGAACATTTACCATTCTTGTAGCTCTAGTCCCTTCATCACGATCCATCTCTCATGCTGCTCTGGTTTGAATAAGGGGCGGCGGATGGACCTTTCAGTAGGTTTCCAGACCAAGAACAGTCCTTGTAGAAGCAGCTATACTTTTAAGGGGCAAGAGTGGCTTGGGGCAAGGAGGGGGCAGGCCTGATATTTGGGTGTGAGAGAGGCCATGGAATGGAATGATACAGTGTCACTGTTCTCAAGTTACGGTGAATGTGGATACAGTCCATGAACAACGGACACTTGATTTTTCTTTATATGTGTGTTCGAGTCATTCTCATGTTATGTTCAAGCATGTACAGCTCAACATACCTCATGCTTATCCAGGTATTGGTCCCTAGTTCTATTTGTGAAGTGTATGCACGTTGGCTGTTCCTTACAACCAAATGTACATGTGTACATGCAGGATGTACGTGTGTTCCCTGTAACATGTGAACAGGGCTACTGGCTCAGAGGGTCTGAAGGGTGTGGCAAAATTGCAAAACAGGATTATACAGGAGGAAGAAGGAGAAGAGGAGGAGTCTCAGAGCGGTTTACAAACTCCTTTCCCTTCCCCTCCCCACAACAGACACCCTGTGAGGTAGGTGGGGCTGAGAGAGCTCTTTCCAGAACTGTCCTTGAGAGAACAGCTCTGACAGAACTGTGGCTTGCCCAACATCATCCAGCAGCTGCAAGTTGAGGAGTGGGGAATCAAACCCAGTTCTCCCAGATTAGAGTCCACGCACTTAACCACTACACCAAAGCACTACACCAAACTGGCGCTGAAGACATTTAGAGGAGTGGGAGGACTGTCAGCCCAATGTGGGGTCAGTTCGACCAATAGAGAGAGAGTTTGGAGGAGGGGTTTGTTGTTGCCATTACTTAATCTTTGTAGAGCTTAAAAGTATACTGGACACCCTCACAGCGTAAGAGTGGCGTGTTCTGGGAGGATATCAGGTAGTGGGTGGCTCCTGTCAGTCATTCTTGGAGGCAGAGCTTGTGGAAGTTTGTTGCTCCCTCAGGTGTTTCTCCTTGCTTCTGCTTGAGGGAACAGGGCCACCATCCGCTACAGAGGAAAATGAAGGAGACACACCCCCTCTTCTTTCCTAGCCAGTTTGGTGTAGTGGTTAAGTGTGGGGAGTCTAAGCTGGGAGAACCGGGTTTGATTCCCCACTCCTCCACTTGCACCTGCTGATGTGACCTTGGCTCAGTCACAAGCTCTGGCACAGCTGTCCTTGAAAAAGAGCAGTTTGTGTCAGAGTTCTCTCAGCCCCACCCACCTCACAGGGTGTCTGTTGTGGGGAGGGGAAGGGAAAGGAGTTTGTAAGCCGCTCTGAGACACCTTTGGGTAGTGAAGGGTGGGGTATAAATCCAATCTCTTCTTTTTCTTCTTCTTCTTTACACGGATGGGGATTCCAGAGCAGGAGTGAGTGTCTTTGTTCTGAGGAGTATATCAAGAGTGGAGGTGGGATCCGTGCTCATCAGGAGTCTTGCATCCCCCACCCCCCCAGCTCAGCCTCACCTTTTGTCGCTTTCTACCAGAGCTCAGCATCACTCCACTGCTTCATCTTCTCAGCAGTACTGGGGCTTCTTTCAGTGGCTGTGAGGGTAGCCGTGGTGATGGGCAGCTCGCAGTGTCCCCAAGTTTGCAATGAAATGTCATGATGTGCAGGCAGTGTGGCTGATGAGCTTGCAGACTCTTCTTTGAAGGCAGGAAGACCCTATTCCTAGACTGCTCTGGAATGCTGTGCTCTGCAGCCGCTGAGGTAATAGATCATCTATCTTCATGCTGTACATTTTGAGGGAGTAAAACTATTCCTCGAGGAGTGTTTGATTCTTTCTACAAGAGGAAAAAAAGATATTTTGTAGGAGTCTTCTGGTGCTCTCCAAAATTTCTGTTGGCCAAATTGTTGTTTTGGGGGGGAGGCCCTCAGACTTTATTGCTCTACATTTTGAGTTAGTAAAACCTTGCATTTCACTCAAATAAAAAATATCTCATAGATTTTTTTTGGGGGGGGGGTGCTCCCAAAGTTTCCTGGGTTTTCCACTGGACAACTGGGGGGGGGGGGGGGCTTGGGAAAAAGGAGGAAAAGTGTGTGTGTGTTTCTAGTTTTCCATTCCCCTCTTTTTTCTTTGCCTTCACATCTTTACGTTGGATAGTTACAAAGGACAGGGATTCTACAGCAGCACCAAGGTTATAGAGTTCCCTTTTTAGGGAGGTTAATTTTGCCCATCTCTGTTAACCTCCTGGTATCAATTAAAGGTAGTTATTTTTCAGGGGACATTTATAACCCTGACGTTAATTTTGAACTAGGTTTGCTATCATTGTTCTCAGTTGATTTTCTAGTTCCTGAATTTTGTCTGTGAATGTTTGCTGCAGTTCTTGCTTCTTTTTTAAATTCAGTTTTAAATTGGTATTATGTGTTTTAAGCATTTCGTTGGCTGCCTTGTAGATCTATTAGATTAAAAGACGGAATAGAAAAAGGACTGAGTCCTGCCCAGCTTGCCAGATCTTTCTCAGAAGCTCTGCTCTCTGTACTCCCCCTTCAAAGGCGAGGTGGGCAGTGACTGGAGACGGTATTTACAGTGGTGGCGCCTTGCCTGTAGAATGCCCTTCCCCTTGAGGGTTGCCTGGCACCTACCCTACCCTCTTTTAAGTGATAAGCCAAAATGTTTCTTTTAACTCATTCTGGGCTTGGTCCTTTAACATCACTTTCAGAATCTGCTTCTAAAATGTTTTTGAGACTCCTTTTAAGCTGTCCATGTTTTTATGTTCTGACTGGACTTTTAGTGCTGGGTTTCTAATGAACAACTTTATTTTGTAAGCCTCCTCAAGCAGGTTCTTTGAGGATTGTTACTTCTGCAGTCCAAGGAGTAGCCTCCTCCTTTCTAGAAAGAATATTTGGGAGGGTGACAGCCCCGATGCCAGGAATTTTTTTGGAGGGGGATGTGGGGCCCCCGGGGGGGGGGGGCACTAGTTAAATTAAATTAGAATACATTTTAAATTAATTTTTTTTTAAAAAAAATTAATTAAATTATTAGAGGATGGAGGCTGCTGCGTCCTGCACAACCATTGAGGTTTTCCAGCCCTCGTGGCTGTAATCCTGTGTGGTTTGCCTCAAGCAGGGGCTTGCTGGGAAGGAACCTGCAGGACTCACCCGCTGGCCAGGAGAAGCCCATCAGCCCCGGTGTGCTGGAGAGGATGCCCCCAGAGGGCCACTGCGAATGAATGCTGTGCCGGTGGGACTCCCTGCCACTGAGACTTCCAGGGCTGGGCCAGAGGGGGTTGCGATGCCTTGTTGCTTCCTTGTCATGGAAACAGCACTGCTGAGATCCACATGTCCCGTGGTCAGACATTACACATCAGGAAACCCAACAAAAATGACAGGGCATTGCCACATCCTCCTCAGGAGCGGAAGGAAGGAAATCGTGCTTCTAGCAGGCATGGCCGCAACCTGGAGCACCACTGCTTAAACAAGATATTTAAATTAAAATGTAAACAAGAAAGGGAAGATTGGGGTAGGGGTGTTGCAGATGTGATGGGGGCGCTGCCCCCAGTGCTTCTGCTGGCTACAACCCTAGGTGGCAACTTCTCACCACCTGTAGTAGAACATGATGAGCCTCATCCATGCGCTAAGGTCCCTTAGTATCTTGTGTGGACTCCCTCCTCTGGACAAGGCAAGATGCACAGTCTCCTTGTGAGGCCAGTTAGCTGTCAGGGTTCGCAACATCGTAGCCTATTTGCTCTCCTGGCTTTTCGCAAACTCTGTGAAACTGAACTATTCAAGAAGGCTTTTTAGTGCAGGTAACAGGGTTGCACTGTACAAAATGGTTTTACAAACTTTTTGGGATAAATGATTAGGGACTGTGGGTTATACCACTGTTTGTAGCTTATTGTAAGTAGGAACCTATTAAAGTAATTTCTTTACTGTTTAATGTGTCATGGGAATACTTTTGCTATGTTTCAGTTCTTTCTGGTGGTTCCAGACTTCTAAAATCCTAATGCATTGGTTATGGAATGCCCCATTTTGTTGATTGCACTGATTCACTGTGTGTAGTCCTCCTTGAATCCTTGTGGGAAAAGCAGACTATAAATAATGTAAATAAACAAATTAGCCCTCTGGTTCCTATTCACCCTTCGCAAGAGCTCTCTCCAGTTGGCACGATGGCTTGCCCATCTGAGGATTGTTCCTTCTACAGTCCAAGAAGTGGTTTCTAGAAGGAATTTTGGGGATGGTGACATTATCTCAGATGTTTCTTCACCACCTACAGTAGAACACAGTGAGCCTCATCCATGTGTGGTGGTCCCTTAACAGCTTGTGTGGAATCCATTCCCTAGATAAGGCTGTACTTGTGGTACCTTCAATGCACTACTCTTTCACTTCGGAAAGTCATCACTGCCCAAACACTTAACAACTACTGTTATGCCAATAGGGATTGTCCTGTCCTTCAGTAGTGAGTCTTGTCTTTTCTTCAAATCAGTCTGCTGAGGATGCTGATCAGGGACACAAATTCTGTTGGACTGGGAGCCCATGGCTAAAGCTGGAAAGCAGGGGGCTGTTTGGAGAGGGAGCCTTCTTGTAGCATCAGTCTCTGCCTAAGATGAGGTTGTGCAGTCTGCTGTCAAAAGCACTCTGTTTCATTGGTCCAGAATCCTTCTTTCATCTGTTGTGGCACAGCTTGGGCAGGGCATCACAGCCTGTCAGCAAATTGCCTCAGCTGCCAACACATTGATCAGTGAAGTCTTCACCTAAAGGTGTTCTCCAAATTCCTGAAGAGGTAGAACCTACCAATAATATGCCTCTTCATGCCTTTGACCAACTCCTCTACATTTTTCTACCTTTCTGCCTGACATTCAAGGCTTTTTTTTTTTTTGCAAGTCTAGCAGGGTATGGAAGTGATGCTTATACTGACAGTGGAGAACTGGGAAGACAAGTTTCCAACAGGAACTGGAGTGGCTCTGCCTTATCATGTAGAAACTGAGAGGTCCAACCTAATCAGGAGATAATACAACAACTGTGAAGTAGTTGACAGCATGTTGGCCTCATGTGAGGAATCTACTAACACTCTAAAATGTTTGGAGGGCTCTTGAAAGATGGTGTAGCCAGAAGAGCATGTATTGTGCTCAAGCTGAGGTCTGTCCTCTGTTGGGTCCTTCTTGAGAGATGGGGGACATTTTGTGAGTCTCTGCCAATATATCAGTTCTCAGCAAGCTGGCTTGTTTAATAGATAATTCTATGGTATGTAGTTTCTGAAGGGGCATGGTACTTCAGCACCTGTCTTGGAAACTCCAGTTAGTACTCAGTGCGCACCAGTGCTCCATTTGTGAAGTCTCCTTGTGTTTTCCATCTCTGAAGACACTTAATAGCTGTGACTTTTACCTGAAGGAGTTTGTAGATGTGGCTGCCCTTTCTGACAGGAAGGAGCACTGCATTGTTCATACCACTAACATAGCTGTAAGGATAGATTCCCTTGTTTATGTCAGACATTACTAGTTAGTTCCACAGATCTCAGGAACAGGTTTTGTCAAAAGCTTAAGAGGGATTGTTCTAATTTGATCAGCCCTTGTGTATATCTTTTGAGGATCCAGATCACTTGGGTTCTTGGTTTTCTCCCCACCGGCAATATCTAGTCAAAAAAACAGAAAAACCCAGTTTCCTATCCTATGTTAGTAGGATTGTTGTGGCTTAAGAGTCCTTGTCGTGTTTCTTTTCCTTCTCTAATTCTAACTTGCTCTGTTAGCCAAAGCCTTTATCACAGTGGCATTTTCTCCCAAAGCCCCATTGGTGGACATTTGTCCAGCCACTACTTGGCCAATGCTTTCTGCCTTTTCTTATTTAGACATTACAAAATCTACACCTTCACCTCTGGTGAATGGTAGAAAGCACTGCAATTTGCTGCATGGTTGGAGAGATGCAGTTGAGCCGTGTGTGGTGTGTGTGTGTAGGGTCAGCCATTGCTGCAGAACATCCTGTCACTGGATGTTGTCTTCGGTGTGAAGGAGAATAAAATGTTGGACCTACCATAAGGTTCCTTTGGAGGAGATAGAGCAGGACTTGCTTTGACAGGGGTCTGCATTTCTCTGAAGGATTTTTTTTTTTGGCTTGTCTCCTGCAATCTATTTTGCTTAGAGCTTTGAGGTATCCCTTGTTTTTCCCTTCATGACTTAAAAAAAAATATAGTTAGTGTTCTGAAGTCTTGTAGTTGTTGGTAGTTAGGGCTTGTTTTCTCTGCTGTAGTTCTTCCAAAACTGGTTACGGAGCTGTCGAGATAACGTGTGCAAAATGCTTGGAACACTCAGAAGTACTAACATTGACAACCCGTGGGTTTTTATGTTGTGTGTCTCTGATGGGTTTTCATTTCTCTTTCTTTACCCCTTCAGAAATGTTCCCCCAGCAAACAGTCCTCTGAAGAATACGTACCCTGTAGCAGACACGCCGGCATCTCCCCAGCCAATGCGGGAAGCTCATGTGGCCAGCCCAGGGCAAACAGAAAGCAGCAGTGGCCCTGTTGGCTTGCACCAAGAAGAGGAGGGTCCATTGGAATGTGATAAGAAATCTGTTGGTGAGTTACCCTATTTCTGTCTTTCCCCCTCTTCTCTTCCCCCTACCTTATGACTTTTCACTAGAAGGTGTGTCTTAGAGGTGCAATTTTTTACCAGTATTTTTCAGTTTAGGTCTGTTGAACCCCCCCCAAAAATTGGGTTCCTGAAAAAATTTCGGGATTCCTGAAAAATCCCAGAACTAAATACTAGTATGGTATTTGGATCCGGGATTTTTGAAAAATCCTGAAATTTTTCAGGTCTAATAGACCAGAACCAAAAATTGCCAGAAAAAAAAATACCAACCCGATCCTAGGGCTGGCTTGGCTTCTCCTGCAGCCCAGTTTAAACCAAGCTGCAGGAGAAGGCAGCACAGAGCCGTGCCAGTGGGGCGCAATCAGCTCCTTGCAGGGACAGCAGTCCAGGCTGGGCTGCTCTCTCCTGTTGCCCAGGTAAAACCAGGTGGCAAGAGAAGGCAGTGCAGAGCTGCACCTGCAGAGAGCTATCAGCTCCTTGGAGGCACAGCGATCCTGGGCTGGCTTCTCTTGCAGCCAGGTTTAAAACAGGCTGCAAGGGAAGTCAGTCACAGCCAAGGCGAAAGCTCCCTGCCACCCCATGATGATCCTTGGGCTGACTTCTGCAGCCCCTTTAAAGTTTAAAGGGACTACATAAGCCTGCCTGACAAACACCTGAGAAGTGGAAGCAATCTGCTCCTGCCTCTCCACTGTTTTCAGATTTACCCCAAATCCCCAAATATATCCGGGATTTTCTTGGGATTCTCCCCCCCCCCCGTTTTTCCGAGAAAACCCGGATACATTTGGGAAGCCGTAAAACACCCAAAAAATACCGATAAAAGTATTTTTCAGGTATATTTTCAGCTCGGGTAGATCCGAATGCACATCCCTAGTGTGTCTCAATAAATGGCAGGCACAAGGGACTCATAAAGACAGAAATGATACCTACATACACTTCCCATAATCTCATTTAATCTGCTAAAAACTTATGCTTCTCTATACTTCTGTTGCTGATTTGTATTGGTTTTTCCGAAGTAGTCAGGCAGAGGTGAGGCTGTAGTACTAAACCTAAACAAATTGCATGTCCAGTGTAGTACAAATGAGCTTTTACTCACTATTTTCTTTGTCTTTTGTGTAAATGTTGCAAGCCCTATCCATGTAAGAGCAGGGTTAGGAGTGAATAAACAAAAGGTAGAACAAAAAAATCCCTCTTGGGGATTTTGCCAGTCTCCGGCTTTCCCTTTTTCTGGGGGACAGGAAGGCATGGAAATGTGCTGTGGATATTGTCCTGAATGGGTGATTCCCTTGTGCCTGTCCGTGGGTTCGCTGGTGCCTGCGTCCAGAAGAGCCCAGGAGGCATCACCTTTGTGTCTGCAGGAAGCACCCATTCTGACACAGCTACCCCTGTCACAGGAGGACACTTGACTTGGAACTTCGTAACATTTTTGTCAGTGTTCTTAGACTTGAAGGCAGCCATTTGGTGGCTGCTGGCGCCCACTATGTCAGCCATTTGGTGGCGGCATCCCATGTTATCAAAGTTCCAAAAGGGCCCACAGGCTTAACAAGGTTGGGGGCCTCCTGAACTATGGAGTGTATTAATGTGTTGGTCCTTTTAATGAGCTGCCCTGCTTTTCTATACCAGATGCAGACAAGCCTTTAGAGATGTCCAGCGTGGATCCAGAGGCCCCTGCAGGGCAGGAGCAAATGGAAGTGGAGACAACAGTTGAGCCTGAAAATGCCCCCTTGCCAGCACCCCCTCCTCCGGTACCTCCAGGTGAGTCAGTGGGCCGTATCTAAGGCAGTGCCAAGGCAAAGTAAAAACCTAAATAAATCATACAAAAATATGTAGTTTGGTATAGATTTGCTTGGCAAATTAAGAGTCTAAGAAATGCTTTGCTGGGTCAGACCATAGTTAGCACAGCATTTGGTTTTCAGCCATCACCAGCCCAAACTTCTTTGAGTAATTGCAAGCATGGCATGGAGACAGTTCCTCCATTGTTTTTCTCTCCACCCGCCAAGGATTTGACACGTGGCCTTTGTGTGTGGAAGCACTGCTTCCCACCATCTAGTTTTTCATAGCACTGGCCATTTGTTCCAAATAATTGGAAAGTTTGACGTTTGGGTCCAGTTATGGCTGGACATGCCTACTAAAATGAATCAAAATCCTGTGTCTAATTGCAATTTCTGCACACAGGAGGAGAAAAAAAAAAATTCTGCCAGTTGTGGTGTTTTTGCTTTTTTTGTATAATTCTGCTTCTGCCAACCCCTTCAGCACTAGAAATCAACCTGCTACCATTATGCTTCTGAAATCCTACAAGCCACTGTCCACACAGTTTCCAAAACATTGTCATAGGGTTGCCAGGTCCCTTTGTCACACAAGCAGGGGGATTTGGGGGCCATTCCGGGGTGGGCGGGGAAACTGTGTGACGTGCTGACATTACCCAGAAGTGACATCAGCATGTTGGTAACACCAGGGGCGACGCTCTGCTTTTTGGGCAAAACTCTATGGTAAAAACAGTCTTAAGCCATAAAGTTTTGCTCAAAAAGCAGAGCATCACCTGCCTTACTGATGCACTGATACCACTTCTGGGTGATGTCAGTACGTTGTGCACAGCGCTGAGGGTGGGGGGAATTTCCTCCTGCTGGCTGGTTGGTGGTGGACAGGAGCCCATGAAAGTAGGGGATCCCCCACCCCCACCTGGGGAATGGTATCCCTGCGTTGTTAGGGCATAGAGTACTATAAAGTATAGAAGATGACATTCCCAGGAAACCCAAAATCCATGTATGATAGCAAATTCCTTGCTTGTGTAGCATGGCAGAACTCAGACAGTACAAGTGGCCAAAGGATGTGCTTGTGCCCTGCAGCCCCAACTCTACTAGCTGTACTCCCCCCTCCCCAAATTGCATATTCGGAATACAAAGTAAATCTGTAGTTTTAGATTGACTTTACTATGTCTTATTTGTCTCCTAAAGTCGAGGTTTTTGAGAACTTGGCATGATAATAGTAGTTTATGTAGCAAAGAAGAAATTTGTACATGAGTGAAAAAGGCTGAAAGTGGGATGTACAAATGTAGTGGGCGGGAGGAATTAACAGTCTGTTACGGCACGCCCTGGGTACAGTAGTAGCTGGTTACATGTTGGCCAATAACAAATTTAGATTGTTAATCCATTTTCATCTGACGATAGGAATCGTGAATTGAATTCTGGCAATTGAAGCCGGTGTAGTATAATGGGTAGTGAGACTGAAATCTGGGAAGCACAGGTTTATTTATAGTTATTTATTCTTTAGATTTGTATCCCGCCCTCCCCCAAGGCTCAGGGCGGCTAACAAGGGCATAAATGCCAGATTAAAACAGTAAGAACAGTATAAAAATACAATAGTACAACATAATACAGTTATTAAAAATATTGGTGCTCCAGTACTCACTCCGAATCATAAAACCAAGATGGTGTTCTGAAGATGTTATAACAGAACAACAGCAGTAGATGTCCCCACAACCCTGTCATCCGCCAGGGACGTCTCACACCCCCGATGATACCCGCACCAGCGGTGGTAGAGTGCGGAGATGGAAAAAGCGTTGTTGGAATAATGGTGGCGGCGGCTCCTACTCGAAATCCCAACTATGTCATGAAGCACACTAGATTACCTTGGGCCGTCATACTTTCTTGGGCTAAACAACCTGGGAGGTGTGTGTGTGTGTGTGTGTGTGTGTGTGTGAGTGAGAGAGAGAGAGAGAGAGAGAGAGAGAGAGAGAGAATGTGATGGAGGAAAGGTGGGATAAAACCATTCCCAATGGCATCTAGTTTAGATGAGGATTACCCTCCCTGATGGCTGTGGTAAAGCCTTTTCTAGGAGTGGTGCTACATTTGGAGAAGGTCATTTTTTCCAAGTTCTTTCCTGAGCAGCAGTTGTGCTGGCAGGAAGATGCTGAATACATCAGCAAGTTGTTTTTGTACATACAAGGGCTTCCTGTGTCCTGCATGTGGGGCAGGTGGCATTTAAAAGAAGTTTGGGACCCATATGTTGGAGGGGAGGTCTTCTTTCTTTCTTGAAGGAGGAGGGGATCTTGATTGAGTGACACCTCTCACTTGTTCTGCAAGCAGGGTAATGTCTGTCAAAGTAGAAAATGTTCCTCCCTCCACCATCTTCCTTCCCCCACCCCACTCTTTCTCTTTCCCCCTCAAGTTGTGGTCCTGCTTTGCTCTGCAGCAGCAGAGTGTTGCTCCATAGTTTCTGTTTTCTCTGAAAGCATCCTTTCTTCAGCTTGGTCTACCCAAGCAGCAGAATGAGGGGTAGATAGGCTATAGTGTTTTGCACCTCAGCTAGGGGGAGGTGTCATGATTTTGATGTTCCCATTGTAAACACTCCCAGCATCTTTTAAAAATCAGCATGTCAGGGAGACAGGGATTCTATGCTAGTTTCCCACTTACAGGAAATGTTGGGGAACTTGAATAATTGCCCTGTTGGCTATGTAATCCCTCCCCTGCAGTCTGAAGTGGTACAGTCCATTCTATCGCCTCAGCGCTCTGCTACCTCATTCTGCTGCCTGTCCAGACTAGGCCTCAGTAAAAAGGAGTAATTTAAGATGTTGGCAAAATCAGCAGTGGGGTTAGGGCTGAACGCATAGCCTTCATTATGTCGCTTATTATTACTCCACTGAATCAGTTGTGAGGTGGATGTGTAATTTTGCCCCATGCTGTGCCTCCGTGTATTTATTTCTTTATACCCCACAGTTCTCCCCAATGGGGGAGACTGGTGAACAAAGTCGTTTCTGCCCTCTTCCATTTTATCCTCACAGCAACCATCCCATGAGGTAGAAAGTGTGAGTGGCCCAAGGTCACCCAGCTGACTTCCATACCAGTGGGGCAATTTGAATCTGTGTTTTCTAGATCGTCATCTGACACTTTTAACACCTACACCATGTTGGCTGTATTGCTGGTGATCTTTGTGCTCTACCCTTTCCACGTGCCCGGGAATAGTTCCCTCCTCTTGAGAGGTATCTTATGCTCTCTGTCTTCTCCTCAGATCCTGTCTCACCTGCCCATCCTGAGGAGCCCACACTAGGTGCCAAAGAGCATCCTGCCTTTGAGTTGCTGCCTGTAGAGCAGGAACCCTCAGAGAGCCGTATTGAGGCAGTACCATCTACCCAGGAAGCTGAGGCATCGTCTCCCAGAAGCCCTCAGCCAGCCTCTTTCAAAGCTGGTTCCCCTGAAGCTGCTGATGGAGAGGCCAGTGAGGAGCCCATGGATACAGGGACTGAGGGGCTTGTTCCAGGTAGCCTGGGTGACAACAGAGTCCAGGCTGGCCACGAAGAGGAAGAAGAGGAGGCAGTGGCACCGAAGATGGAACTTGAGGGAAGATTCTCCCCGCAGCTGAGTGAGGAGGAGACTCCAGAAGAAGGACATGCCACAGGAGGGCCGGAGCCCAACGAGGCTCCCCTCAGCTTTGCCAGTGAATCCAAGTGCTCTCCCTCGCCAGTGGAGGCAGAATTGCTGGGCAGCACATCCACCCCATTGGAGGGCTACAGCACCGGCAACCCACTTCAGGGAGGGGCAGGGGGAGATGAGGCGGGACCGGCCCCACCAGCCTTGAGGCCCCACCCCTTGCTTAAGTCGGATATTGTTAATGAGATCTCAAACCTGAGCCAGGGTGACGCCAGCGCCAGCAGCTTTCCAGGCTCGGAGCTTCCATTTGCTTCCCCATATCACGAAGGCGGGGGCTCATTCTCCATGGAAATGGCCTGCTTGACCTCCACAGACGTCAGCCTGCAAAAGGACGATGGAGCCTCCTTGGCCCTGGGCGAGATGGACGACTCTTTACTCTTTGATGTAAAAGGGGAGGGTGAAAAGGGCCGGCGGCGCAGCTCCCCGGGCCGCTCCCGTGTCAAACAGGTAATGTGGTGCCCTCGACTGGTTGATTCTTGCTGCTGCTTGGCAACAAATGCTTTTCCATGCCGAATAACCCCTGCCCTGTAATCAGTAGTGGGAGTACTGGAGGGAAGACAATGAAGCGGAGAACGTGTGCACATCCCCACAATATATTTTCTCTTTACTCTGACCATAGGGTCGCAGCAGCAGTTTTCCCGGGAGGAGAAGGCCTCGGGGAGGGTCTCATGGCGGTCGGGGGCGGGGCCGCTCACGGTTGAAATCCACCACTTCTTCAATTGAGACGTTGGCGGTAAGGAGAGTTTTGGCAGGCAGGAGAATATTTTGGCGGGGCGGCAGTGAGAGGTTCCCAGGGAAAGA